TACAAAGTTCATGAGCGTATAGCAACAAACCAGGATCTGTTTACTATGAGATCACCTAAATATTATGGGACATATTATTAATGAGCAGGAACATTTAGGGTACATTCACCTGCTTAAAGCAGAACTTTACCCAGCACAGCTTGATAAAAAAGAATGTTCTTTAGGAGGAACATACATTCCACATTAAAAATCATGCTACCAAAATTAGTGTGTGCAGTAAATTGCCTTCAGCATTGCACCTGTTTCTTTTTGCTGGAGGCTGCCATTTTGCTCAACCCCAGAGCCCCTGAACAGCAGTAAATCATAAAGCGGAACTAAACCCATCGATTTAACATTTAAGAAAAAAACAGTTATATTCCTGAAATGCTGCGATTGCTAACTGTCATCCTTGCTTGTATCCTCACCAAACTGTCAAACCATCAAATGGCTGGAGTCATAACTGATCACATGTGCAGCACCATGGCAGTTGCAGATCAAACAGAAGCAGCTTCTTTGGCTGTAAAGCGAAGGGTTTAATTTTGCTTAAAGGCTGTCAGTAGATCAGCCTCTACAAATTCAGTGTCTACTAAGTGAGCAAGGTCCCTTTTTGCAGTAGTAGTGGTTACAGAGCTGAGCTCCTCAGGTAAAAGCCAGTTACAACTGCAACACCCCAAAGGTAACGTAGCTGAACAAAGTCCTTTGCAGTAGTAACAATTGGACAAGCTCTTCAGAACACTATCGTTCAAAACAGAATTACCACTAGGTATAGGTGGGGTAACCTATTGTTGAGCTCAAAGACACACCTTATAATAAAGATGTGGGTGTTTAACCTGGCTGAGTATGAAAAACACACGAGCTACATTGCATGGGCGGTCATTACCTACCTTTGTTGTTTGCACTTTGCAATTACAACTTTTTTGTTTTTTCATCTTCAGAACACTAGCCAGTGTTCCTTTTTCTCAGACCCACACTGGCTATCAAGCACCAGAGGGAAGGAAAGCACACAGAGTCCCCAAGATTTCTGTGTCTGTGCGCACAAGCCCAAGGACAGAATGGTTGCCTCCTTCCAATCTTCCAAGTGACTCTCTTTCCAATGATACCAGACAGATCTTTGGCAGACAGCTTCTCTCAGTCAGATTACTGTAGAACCAGGGTCACTCTCTCTAACTTTAGGCCCTCAAGTCGACCCACCTGAGGTCACATGGCAGCAAATGCCAGGTGAGGCAGCCTGCCTCCAGCCTGGCTGTTCAATCCTCTCCCAGGAAAAACACTGAACCCATGTGCTCACAGAACATAAATACTACTCCCAGCATGCAACGGGACGGCCTTCCCCTGCAATTTGCCAGGGCTGTATCCATATTCATGCTGTTCATTCACCTAGCCCCTACCCATGTTCTGGAAGACTCTCATAGCTTCCTGAAGTTGGGCAGAACTCAGACAAACTAAAACCGCCCCAGAGCATCATGAGCAGACCTGACTGATCAATCACAGCACTCTGTTAAGCAGAATACCACACTGAATTACCTGACAGGCACTCTGGTAAGCAGAGAAACATAGCTATGCCTAACCTAACCATACACATCCTAGAACCTCAATAGGAGGGTGCTACACCTGTAAACCTTAATTGAGAAAATACTTTGTAAGGTTTACAGTTTGTAGCCAACTGCTTAGATTAGGTCCTCATTTTCTGAAAATAATTATACTGAAATGGAAGACATAACCATTATTTTAAAATGCTGTGTGATTAATGTTTTTTGTAGTAGTTCAAATTCATGCTGCTGTGAAAATTATTTATGTAAAAAAAACAGCTTGTATTTACACTGAGACTAGCATTGAACCTCGTATCTCGTACCTATCACCCATACAAATGTGTATCAGATGATACTTTGGTTAAAGTGATATTCCTCCAGTTAAAATGATTTTACTGTGACATATGATATCATAGGGTTGGTGTTACAGTCCCATAGAATGCCAGAACTATTTTGCTTAACTTTACAATTTTTTCTTGGTCCAGGCTGGAGGTAATAGACAGTGTAAAGATTAAATAGGTTAAAAACTTTAATAAAGTTTGACGAACATCTTTGCAGAAATACATAGGGAAGAGTATTGAATTGGGAATTTACGGTATTATGCCTATTTGTTTCCTGCAGCCCTGTAAATTACATCACAGTGCACATAGCAGCCACAGGAAATGCTATGGAAAGCATTTCTGGTGTTGGGCAGTGGTGTCCCTAGGGGAATGCAGTCCGCACCGGGTGACAACATCACAGGGGGTACAGGAGCAGGATGCCAGCAGAGCTTCTGGGCTCTGTGAAGGTCCTTGCCAGTTATTGGGGTGTTCCTGGATTCCCAGCACAGTCACAGCTGCCCCGGTGTAGCAGTAAAATGAGTATCCCGTGTAGATATGCATCCCCTGAAGCAACTGCGTATGTGCCAGTTTCAAGCCGATCTCCGACTTTAGCACAGAGCTGAACCTATACGGGGATAACTGATCTTGCAACCCATTGTGATCCGCGGGATCAGCTTCAACTGTTTGCAGCCTGTAATGGGTTAACTGTGGCAGCTCTGTGCTAAAGTTGGAGATCGGCTTCTTCGGCCTGAAACTGGCACATGCACAGTTGCTTCAGGGGATGCATATCTACATGGGATACTCATTTACCGCTACATCAGCACCGCTCCTTCCTCTCTGTAGGGGCTACACTACGTGTTACTGCACCAGGTGACACCAATCCTAGGGACTGGTGTTGGGCAAATGATTTTATCATCATTCTCAGGTCTGTGAGGATGGATGCACAGATACATAGGTAAGATGTCTGGTGCAGCCACATTCCTAAATGCTGAAATGCAATTGCCAGAAACGTCAAAGGATCCTGTGCTGAAAAGCATCGGTTTGCCTCTTTGTATCAGAAGAAGAAATAACAAATGATTCCAGTATTCAAGATCAGAGACAGGGAAATGTGTTGGATCCTGCAATGGATTCTTGCCTTTGAAGTGCTTAACACTGGAGGGGCTGCTGAGAATATGCCCAGCTCTCCCTTATTTGACTTCCAGGTCCATACACCAGATCCATACACACTGACAACACAGGCTCAGTCCAATTGATTTCTTTTTGTAGATTTATTAAAATTTATTGCAGCAATCAACAGGAGAGAAGGACAGTGTGCAGGACTCTCCAAAATAGTTATAGGACTACACTTTCTTTTTCACAAATCTATTAGCAGCAGCTTTTGCTCAGGGTAGAGGGGATAGCCAGCTATTCTAAGACCCTATATGAGCAGCCCCAGTTCTTTCAGAATCTTCTGGCATTAATTCCCAAAGCACATGCACAACTGGAGTCCTAGGCAAAAATACTGCTCACAATGTCCAAGGAAAGCTGTTATTCACCCAGCTTCCATGTGGCAGTCTTCAGTGAGAGAGAAAATCCTTCTCCATCCCAGTCTCCACAAGTGAAGTCCTCCAGAAAATATGCCTGGGGTTCAAATTCTTTCATACCCTCAGCCAGCACATGCTGAATTCTAACAGCTCTTCAGTACACTAGCTACCTCTTGAGGGCAGAAACCGTAGCAGAATAAAACTGCTGACCAGGCTTCTCAAACATATATCTTCTCCCCAGCCACCTTTTGGGTGACTCCTCTCAGGGATTGGCTGAGGTCAAACTAATATTTATAACTTCAGTGGCTGACCATCTTAGCTATTTCTGGAAGCTTCTTCCATAGACAGGCAGGAGTAATCAACTACAAAGCTGAGGAAAACCTAACCAGGATAAAAAAATCAGACTGCTACTCCAGTAAGTACAGCCGAAAACTAAATTTAGCCCGACTAGGGCAAGGTGCTACACTTTCCTTGCAAGCCATCAAAGTCATGTCATGGCAGACAGTCTACATTAAAACTAAAGAGAGGAAAAGACATCCTACAACAAAATGGAATCCTGCACAATCTTCCCCCCCCCCCCCCAAAATAATACATTTTATCCAACTAAGATTTCTGCTCTGTCTGCCTGTGGAAAGTCACTCCACATGTGGCTTGAAGGACTTGTGATATGCCGGAGAGTGCAGATGCCTGTTTAGCTATATCCATTCTAATTGTATTACACTGACACGAGCTGTCATGCTCATATCTCTGGGACATGAGGTCCACTTGCTGGACTTAATTTCACTGTGACATCTCTACTTTATAATGAGTGATTGACTGTTTTCTTTACAATTACAATGTCTGTCAGTTATACTGTAACTGTATGAAGAACTCTTTAAAAAGAAAGCTAGCCCCTATTGCTGCAGCTTTGGGGAGGAATTCATGTTTTCCAAACCTATACATCTGAATATTAGAGACATACTTATAATTCACATAACTGTTTACATTGATACTTTTAAAACTGTAATTGTTTCACATTTTTGTTTCTATAATTTTTTTTTTAACAGTTTGATAATTACTGGTGGCTTTCACTTTTATTTTTGTATTAAACCAAGTTGTCATATTGATATTTCTGTCATTGTACCAATAAAAGATGTACTTTGATACATAAAATCTGTTTTATTTTTATTCACATGGCAGTTGCTTCTCATGTTATCCATATTTCTTCTCTGAGCTATTGGCAGTACAGTGTTATCGGTCGTAGTTGTAAACCTCTATCATGAAATAAGAAGAAAGCATATCCCTCTATAGTGTGTACTTGTCTGAATCCAGAGCATTAAGTGCCATTTCTGCCTGCAGCTTGGGTACTCTGCTATCTGCATGAGTCACTTCTGACAAGTTTTCCTGACACCAAGAGAGAAATACGTTGACAGGGGAGGGAGCTCCAGAACACAGTCTGTGATTGACAGCATCAGCTCTGTTGCTGTGTGAAGCAGGGTGAGTCCCTTCCCTCCAATAAGCTCCCAACTCTCCTCACTGAGCTCTGCAGAGTGTAATTTCAGCTCCCCATCCCATACTTTATGAAACCCCAGACAAGCTGTATAAAATCTGGACTTTGAAAGGCTGTAGAGAAGAGAAAACTGCAGATACAACTTAAGTAGGAGGATTTGATTTATCTCTGCGTATCATCTGGGGCTAGCCACTTCAGTGGGTATATGTAAGGGTTTACAACCACTTTAACCACCTCCCGCCAGCGATATAAGGTAATGCTGCCTATCAGTGCCAGTCAGTGCCGCCTATCAGTGCCCATCAGTGCCACCTATCAGTGCCCATCAGTGCTGCTTAACAGTTCCAGTCAGTGCCGCCTATCAGTGCCAGTCAGTGCTGCCTATGAGTGCCATATATGAGTGCTGCATTTCAGTGCCCATCAGTGATGCCTGACAATGCCCATCAGTGCCACCTACCAGTGCCTCCTCATCAGTGCCGCCTATCAGTGCCCATCAGTGCAGCCTGTCAGTGCCCATCACTGCAGCCTCATTAGCGCACATCAGTGAAGGAGAAAAATTACTTATTTTCAAAATTTTATAACAGAAACTAAGAAAAAACTTTTTTTTTTTTTTTTTTTTTTTTTACATTTTCAGTTGTTTTTGGTTTGTTTAGTAAACATAAAAAACCCAGAGGTGATTAAATACCACCAAAAGAAAGCTCTATTTGTCTAAAAAAAAAAAAATGATAAAAATTTCCTACGAGTACAGTGTTGCATGACCGCGCAATTGTTATTCAAAGGGAAAGCTGAAAATTGGCCTGGGCAGGAAGGGGTGAAAGTGCCCGGTAGGCAAGTGGTTAAACTGTACATGTGCACGCCACCACCTACCAAAATGCTAAGTAAAAGTGTAAGTACCAACTGTAATGTTGACCGATATACTCCTTCAGCCCATTGATTATTTTTTCTGTGGATTCATCTGCCTATTTTGAGAGGATGCTCATGGAACCAATTGCCTGCCTCACTCTAAAGGGAGGAAAATTGGGACTATTCTTTTGGGAAAAACATCTGCTCCCTGCCCACATGCAATGATCTGGAAAGATATGTCTCATGCTTACATACATAAAGGAGACCAACACTCTTGAAGCTGATCTATACCAGGTGGAGACACGGGTAACCGATATTGAGGCATCCATAGTGTTCTACCTCTCCAATCTAAGCTCTGCAAGTGGGAAACCTTACCAACCAGTGTGATGAGATTTCTTACTCTACTACCGAAACTTGTGAAGATCATACAGATGAACATCAGGTAGGTCACAAAATCTAGCTTCACCTTAACACAGTACATATGAAGAACAAAAATGGAGACTAACCATGAAGAAGGGAGGGGATAACTACATAGACCCTGCCTTAGCTACTGAGTGAGGAAGGGACAAAATGATTTAAAGGTAAACACAAAGAGAATGCATGTGTAACGTGATACATAGAGATCATAAATGACTGATTAGACATAGTCCAGATGGTTCTAAACGTTCATGCCTTTTAAATGTAAGACCTCTTGTACTACTTAGGTCACACTGAAAATCGCAACAGTTTCAGAAATGTCTACACCAGAATCTGTAAAAACGACAGATATATTACCAACACTCAAAATGCTTTTTAATAGGTTCTGGGTAAACTTCCTGATACTAACCTAGCCGATGACAGAGCACACAGTGTCCTAGGGTGCAGGAGCACTGACCTGGCTTGGCTAGGGGGCATTATATACTGTATACCAGTTTTCTTTTAAAAAGAAGCCTGAATGGCAACAGCTTGCAATACTGACAGTTTGGATATGCTAATAGCATTGCTTCCTGACCTACACACTTCTATTCTGAAAAGCCCTGAAGCCAGTTTTGGAAACTTCAGCAGCCAACAATATCAAATACAGATGGGCATACCCATTTCAACTGTATGCCTTCAAAAACAGCTAATCAGCAATTGTTGGATGACCAAACTTGGAAGGCTGGCATTGTTATTGCCTTGTTTCCTTCTCATCTCTCCCATAACACCCCTTATACCCAACCAGGTGCTCCATGTGGATTTTTAGCTCCAAACAAACCATGGACCCACCATGGCATGAATCTGAATAGGTATTTTCAATACTAGGTGCCTTTTTCTACCTGAGAAAAGTCTCAGATCTTAGACATTTTTCACAAATATTGTGCCCCCCTCCCGTTTCATTGAGAATTGAATGATGCCATTAAACACTTTATTAACAATTGCCATTTAGACGCCACCCTGCTCTTACTGCAGTGCCCACATGGAAGAGAATCATATTTCCAATATATTTATAAAAAAAATTATATATGTGACATATATTTACAATATGTTGGCCTACACTAATATATTTTACCAAGTATTATAAAACATTTAAATTTAATTATATTTTCTAAAGGCATATATTTAAAAATATATTTTATTTAAATATATTCTTCAGATTTTTTTTAACAAATGAAAAAGTAATTTTAACATATATATGTAAATGCATTCCAAAAATATAGATTACATGTAATTTCAAAGACATACATTTGAAAGTGTATTTTTAAAAATATTTGTCATATATTTTTTAATATATAAAAAAACGCATTTCAACATACAGTGTGTGTATATATATACATATATATATATATATATATATATATATATATATATATATTTTTTTTTTTATAAATATATTGAATACTGCCAAAATTGTAGTATTTCAAATATATGTCAAAATATATTTTTTCTTCTACGTGGGTGGACAGCCCTAAAATGTGTACTGGGCACTGCCATCAAAAACTGCTCCTGCAAAAAATAAAAAAAAAATGGCTGCCTAGATCAAAGAACTAACCCAAAATGTAAATGTCCTGAAATATCCCATAAAAAAAAAAAAAAAAAAAACTGCAACAATAAAAGACACAAACTCTATAAACTAATAAGCCAGAAATATCAGCAGTAGACAAGTGCTGCAAATACCAGTATGAATTTGTAAACAAATGGGGATGTCTATTAGCCACTACACTACACCAACACACTTTTATGTTCCTTGTACAAAATTCAAGAAGAACAAATTGTAGACTCCCCCTATGCCATCTCTGAAATCATCTGCTCTAATTACGCATCACTATACAACCTTAACCACCTACCCACATTTCAGAGGCGAGACAGTTGTTATGCTAAGCTAAAGTAATTACAGCCAAATATAAGCACAGTGGCTGAAGAGTAAGTAAACAGTTTGATTGAGGCCCGAGGCAACAATGTAAAAGGGAGAAATAGGTCCATTTTTTTCAAATATGATATTTTAAGACAGCAGCCATAAATATTGTCTAGACCATCTGTAAAATATGCTAGTGTTTGTACTAAGCCGCTAGAGGTAACGATAAGGCATATATTATTGTAAAAACGAAAAACTATTTATTATGTCACAACCAAGAGCCAGAAATATTTCACGGACATGCTGCACCCCATGTAAGCATTTTTTTTGCCAGTCGGAGACAAGGTAGGTGTTATCCATGAAATAAAAATTTCAGTGTGCTTTTTCAGAGCTACAAGCCAGAAAAACTCAACTGATTTGCTGGATCTTAAGTTCTCTTTTTTTTTTTTCAAGATTTTTGACAATATGTAATTTCAGAGATTTTAGAGCAGGCAGATTTCATGTGTAAAAACATCAACTACTGTTTTACAGGACTGAAGACTGAAAAATTGTACTGATTTGAGGCACACCTGTTAAGTCTTTATTGCATGGATCACATTTTTTGAGGGAGGAGAAAGCAGATAGAATCTGGAAATAAAACAATGAGGTTTAGGGTTCACACTCATGCGGTGCGGTACATCGCATGTGATTTGCACAGGAACCACACCGCATTCCTGTGCAAATCACATGCAAATTGTTTGCAGTGCGATTTGAGCCATACATTATGTGTGGCTCAAATTGCACCGCATCCGCACCAAAAAGGGTCAGCACTAGAATTGGATCTCATGGGAATGCACACCTATGCGATCCGATTCTGGACATTGCACCGCGTTTTTTGGGGCCGATTTCGGGGTGTTGTTAACTGGACATACACACCTGCAGTGGTTCGCATGAACGGGGTGTGATTCTGATGCGGTGTGGAAATCACACAGAAAACGCTGCAAATTCCGGACCGCATTAGTGTGAACCCAGGCTTAGTGTCTTTTTGTGAAACTGAAAATGGAAAAATGTTACAGATTTTCACCACAGCTATTAGTCTTTTTTTTTGGGCCAGGCCACAATTTTAGAGTAATTAAGTAAGCATATTACACCTGGAAATTAAATTTTTTTTTTGTTTGAAATTGGAAACATAAAAATTTCACACATTTGCACCACAGCCTTTTTTTGGAAAGGTTGCAATTTATGACCAATTAAGCAGCCATATTTGATCTGAAAATGAAAAAACTTGTGTCTTGATTCAGAGACTGAAGGCTGAAAAAATGTAACCATTTTGCTCTACAGCTTTATTAAGCCTATATTGATAGGCCACATTATATGATTATTAGATTAGAAGGGATCCTAGTGGTCCCATAAATGCCCCCCTGCCTGTCAGCGGTAATGTGATCTGAGCCCCACATACTCAGCTCAGACCACTCTGCGAGCCATGGCGATGTCTCCCGTGCACATGCAAGAGAGTGACATCATCTGCGGCCCGGCCATTCAAGTGGCTGAAGATCGGGAACCTGGTAGAAAGACCAGGCAAAGATAAAAGCCACCGGAGAAGAGGGAGAAACCATGTCAGCACAGCGCTGGAGGGCTCCATTTGTAGGAAAGTCTGTCATAATGTACTAGTATGCATTGCATACTAGTACACTATAACCTAAGCCTGCACAGGGGACCATTTTTGTGAATAAAGAGACTTTACTACTACTTTAGGCTTGTTTGTGCAGGTCGCTATATACAATCCAAAGAGAAAGATGATTGGAAGTTGGGTTACTTTTTCCTAGACAGAAAAGAGAAAATATACAGAGCTACAGCCCATGTTTATTATTTTACATTTTATACAAATTAATTTTACAGAATTGCATCTCCAGCTTTTAAACAAATTAGAAAGGCAGATATTTCCAAAAGGAGAGAGATCAGATTTCATCAATAAATATGAAAGCGGACTGCATTTTTGCAGAGAATGACTAAACTAATTGTATAGATTTGCTGCAGAGACTCTCTTCCTTATCAATAGGAAACAATTTTTTTGGCAGAGTATAGGGCTCTTGTAGCAAATGGCTGACACTGTGCTCAAATAATTCAACTGACCCCCCCACATGGAAGAAAAATATATTTGAAATATATTTAAAAAATATTATTCCAAAATATATTGACATATATTTGAAATGCTACAATTTTGGCCACATTCAATATATTTCAAAATATATTTCAAGAAATATATATACAGTATATATACTGCATGTAGAAATGCGTTTTTTATTACAAAATATATGACAAATATTTTTAAAAATACATTTCAAATATACTGAATGTCTTTAGAACTAAAAATGTACATTTTTGGAATGCATTTACAAAT